TTTCTCGCTCGCGGTTTCCCCTTTTAGTCGATTCAGGGGGGGGGGGAAGAGACGAGTCGAGACGCTTCTTAGATTGAAGATCAGACGTGCTTTTGCCTAAAGCACGCGCTCCTCTACATCCTAAGGAGAAGCTCGTTATTATAGTTGGACACTCAAAGTAAGATGTGTCGAGAGGGCTTCTTTAAATTCGTTTACATTCACAACACATGTTTCTTCGCGGTTAATTTTTCTGTATAGAAAAGATGTGGAAGTGATTTTCGAACATACGGTGTATATGGAAAAACACGAAGATACGAAGTGTTCGGATTTTAAAAGAAGAAACGCGAGTTGCGAAAATAAAATGCAAAATTTGATATTAATATTCGAAGAATTTCAAACTTGGATAATTCCCGATATTCATAATAGATAGGCAAATATAGAGAGCATAAATTTGCATGTAATATTTGAAAGAAGCATCGATTATTTAGACGTCGTCTCTGCCGAGACTCGTATTTTTATTTTATTCACCGCGACATCTACGAAAAAAAACTACATTAAAAAAAGAAAAAAAAAAGAAAGAAAAAAGGAAAAAAAAAATTTACATTCGTCCCATTTAAAAAACACGAGTGTTTCATGCATTTTAACGTTGAAACACCGGAAAGTAGCCGATGTAACAGCTGCCCCACTTACGCTCGACACTTAACAATGCTGCATATATTTTTTTTTTTTTTTGCCAGCGCGATAATCCCAAGGCCACGAGTGTTTCCAACGGCGTACCGCTCGAATGGAAATTAAAAAATATAATTTTACGCCAATTCCACGCATCATCGTTCGAATGGCGCGCGAAGGAAGTCGCGTTTCCGCCATTATGGCAGCCATGAGTGACGATCTGATAATGAGCGTGTACGCGTGCCATTCGTCCACTCCGTGTAAATTAATTTTAACGGTAAAACCCGTTGTGTTCCACGGTCACGGTTTTTAGCCTCGACTATGGAGCGTATTTTTCGTGGTCTTAATTAATTCGTCGCGTCCAATTTGCTCCTCATCGACGCTCAACGCCTATTAAAGCCGATGACGATTCCATCGGCTGTTATGACTCCCGCCAATTATCGTTAATTAAGTATTCCACAGATGACGATATCGACCGTGCGTTGCGAATTTCTATTAACCATCGTTTTCGAACTATATATATATATATAGATGCACTTATGCGAATATCATCGTGGCTTAATGCTTTTAATTGGATTCAATTCCGTGAATTATATACAATTATAATCAGATTCAACACGCGATATATTTATAGTTTAAGTTTTTTTTTTTTAAGTTTCCAGACCAAAGTGATCGATCCATCGATCTAAAGGATTGTGATTTCGATTAAGATAAACGAGAGAAAATCATCACTCCCTCGAAATCGATCTTGTCTGCGAATATCAAAAGAACAGTACTGTACTACTTGATCTCGCCGATAATATCAGAGAGAATATTAATCACCTTCGTCAACACGCGTCGTCAATCTATATGCATATTAATCGAGAGAAGACAACTCTGTTACCGTAATCCGTATCGACGATCGACCGTCGAAGGAAAGTAAATTCCTTTCGAAACGCCAACTCCACCAATATTCTCCGATTTTCTTTTTTCTACGTTCCACGCTTCGTTCGCCGTTATTCCTCCTCCTCCACCGTGGAACCGTGCTGTTTCGCGTTGCTGGAACCGTGACAAAGGGTTCGACACGACAAGGCGAAGTATTAAAATTCCAACACGGTCCAACACGAGCTAACGAAGTGTGACAATCGGCCATTTTTCGGTGCCAGCGAGCAAAAAAAAGAAAAAAAAACGAAAGGAAGAAAAAAAGAAAGAACAAACGTAGCGCACGATCTTTCCTCCCATGTATGCGTACGCGTGTGTGCACAACTATCCTCGCGGCCGAGATCCCCAGATAAAGTTCACAATGGCTTAACTAACTGGTATACCGGCCCCGGTGAGAAACGACCTTACGTAATTCGATCATTTGCATCGATGATGCATCGTCGTGAATGGATCTGAACACGCGTTATCACGGATAGAGGCCCACTGTCGATAATTATGCGTTTCGCCAGCAACGATCGTTAACGAGGGGAAGGAGGGGGAGAGTAGAATATAGAAACGAGACACAAAATGGTACCGTAGGCGTTCGAGTCGATTCCGGCCGCGCTCCAGGCCGCAACAACGGAATTTTCTGCCGGGTTAATCCCAGCAGAAATTATCGAAAGTACGAGCTGCAATCACGATTCGGTGGAATATCGGCCGGGCTCTTCGTATCCGGCCACCGTTAAATGGGGCACCACGCGCGGATAATGGAAAGCGGGTTCGGGTCATCAGATTTAATGACACCTCTAATATTAACACCAATATATCGGCGTATATAGTCTCCGCTATACGTATATATGAAAATTGGAACACGCGATATTTGCTATATGGGAATACTCGATGTTAATATGCGCGTTAATAATGCACTTTTTTTTTCTTGTAAATTGTATAGCGTTATTTTATACATGTTTAACA